TTATCATGCAAATCTGACAAAAAATATAAAGAAAGAAAAACTGATTCACTTTACGTTCAGCATTGGTTTGCTTGTTACCACAGTGTCTACTTTAACTAACTCCGTCGCTAACGAGAGAACACAGACTCGCGTTCGAGGAAAATGTAAATTATAATAATAATATCATGCTTTCTATTTTAAGCAATCAAACGTAGGCCTATACACTTTAAGCTCGTAAATACAGATTTAATTTTCCGTCTCACAATTCAACAAAATGTCCAGAAATACCGGCAGTGATTTGATATTATTAACAGTAAGTTTGAATTGGAGTGTTCAATAAGCGTCAATAAGTGTTTTTTTGTAGACTACAAGTGTAACATATAATTACTTTGTTAATATGAAGGGTAGATCGAGTCAAAGAAAAACACCGAGTGACGTTCTCAATAATTTTAGCCTTCCTTAAATTTGAAAATATTCAGTGAAAAAACAAAAGATAATATGTAGGGAAATTATTTCTGAGAAATATATAAAATAGTTTAAAAACATAAATTCAAAACGAATGTTATATGTAATTAATGGAAGAAGTATTGTACTGTTGTAGACTCATGTCATTTTAAGTGTGTTTAAAATTATTTTTAAATACAAATGTATTATCAAAAGTTTTATATTATTAATATATGAATTGAAGGTGTAATTTTAACCGTTAAGTTGCAAAATCTGGGTATACAAAATATTTAAAATGCCATCAAGACAAATTTATCTCAACGCTTAAAATTATCTGTTTGAGGTTACATATGCCTAACCGCCCTCTGTCAATGCCGCAACTGGAATCATCCATAAAAATCGCGAGGCATTTTTGTTACGTCATATATTTCGTAAATTGTTGTTGACGTAATAAAGTTTTTTTCGTCAGGAATCCATAAGCATTGTGGTGTTGATAACTAAAATTGATGGGTCGTTCTTGAATTATGGATTTGGAACATGCTGAATTATGATGTGTTTCATTTACATATTTCATTTGCTAACCCAGATAACTCCACAAATTGAACAATGTTTTAATAATGAGACGGATTATCAGTTTAAAAAATCTGGATCATTAAACGTGTAGGAGTCATGTCATTCCAGGATTTTTGAAGTAAAAAAGTGGGATCTACGGAACTGGATAAAAACTGGCAATGAATCTTCAGAATTCGAATTTGTCGTGACGTTTATAAAGTTCATAGGGATAATATTCAGCTTAAAAGTAAGTGCAATTTCTAACGTACTTTAATATAAAGTCGTCGGGGTTATAAGGTCGTCAGACATTTTCTAGCCTCTTTCTTTCTCTACCACGTTGCCTAGTAGTTTACAGAGCGTGTTTATTTAAACGTTAAACATGTTTCCTAATTTATCTTGCCGTTTAAATGTTGTTTATTTAAAATGTCAGTTTTCACAGGGACCTTTTCCATGTGTTTTTTGCTAACGGGGCGACAGAAACATACTGTTGTAACACGGCTTTGGCGAAATGCCACTCTCGCGCATGGCAGCCATCTTGTCATTTACAAGATTGTGTGCGTTTAAAATAATCTTTATTAACAGATTTACCTCCCTTAGACCATTAAATCTGTTTTAAGACTTAAAAATCTTTCTTATTCCCGTTGACGACTTTCTATATAGACTGACGACATAATATACAAAAATTGCTTTATGATTTTTGAATCTTTATACTTTATTTATCTATTTCCATTTAGATCTCAGCCGCATATAAGGATCACTCTATTACCCATTACAAAGGATCGGTAGGTTTATTTATATGCCCAAGTTAGCTGGTTTACAATTTATCCAAAATCTTGCACAGTCTTAAGTTTAAATTATAAAAGTGAATGTTAATGAATAAACACTTCTACGAATCTAATGACTGCGTTTGTTTTTTTCTGTTTTATTGTTACATTAATAGTTAGTGATGTTTTCATATGTTGTCTGATGCGTTCTTGGTGCTACCCCTGTTACCTTGACTTTGTGTTACGGACGTTTTGTTCTTTGTTTTATAAATCACTGTTCCCTTTTTTACTCGGTTATGACAACACTTGCCATGTTCTCGTCACAAATGTATACATATTTAAAAAGTATACGGAAACAACAAATATTTTAACCGTCTCGAAACATTAACGTCTTATATATTTCCATGCAATAAAACTTCTAAAAGTGCGAATATCTTTACTGTATTGTCGAAGGTCTTTAAAGCTATTATTTGTATGTGCTTAATTACATATGTATGATTGCGATTTTAAGGCAGGCCAAATACAAAAAAATGCGTTGTTTTGATAACCCAAGCAATGCGTAAAAAAGTACCCTAGTTAAAAAAAGATGTACATGTTTAATTATATAGCCTTAATTCCATTTTGTTTAACTTATACCAAAGATACTTAGAAGAAAATTAGAAATGATACAAAACTTGAATGCAAAGTTTAAAGGTTAGGAGGTTCAAGTCACGTGACCTTATCGTGACGTCGTCGCCATTTTTTGAGAAATTATACCCAAGTTTAAACAGTAATATTTACCATAATTTTTGTTTATACATGAAATAAAACACATCTTTGGGAAGATAAATCAATATTTTATTGATTTATGTCATTATTTATACAAAATTACGGAAAAAATGTAACTTAAACTTTGTAAACTTCAACCCATGTCGCGGTAGTTAACACGCGTTGATATACGGCCGGGCAAGATTTTAGTCGATTTAAAACGGTATGGTGTTTGTTTTTACCGTTTGCTAGAGCGCGTAAATGATTCAGATTGTTGATTATCCAATGAAATTTGAGCTTACAAAATTCTCATTACTATGGTGCATGAACGCTGGAAATCGGCCGGAAAATAAAAAATTGACATGTAAATAAAGAAAAAAAAATGTTTTTTGGGTAAGTTTCGGTTTATTTAAAGATAACTTTCATAAATATTCATGTTTATCATACATTTTACTATTGAAAATGACCACTTACTAATAGAAGTAAGCCAATTTAACTCTAGCAAACGTGTATTTCCAGACCCACCCGCGAGGCTATTTTGGCAGCATACGCCGGTAGTAAAGTACCCCACCACCTTTAACGTTATGGTGTAATGTTGTTACCTATCTTCATTATCATGGCAGAGGCATTATTAGGTAAGAACTTTCAATTTATTTTTTATTAAATGATATCAATGTTTTATTTACATTGTTTGAACAATAATATTCAGAATCTGTAAGATTTAAAAAGCTAAATAGTTGAAGTTGAAGACATATAAATTTTACATGTTGATTATAATGATGTATAAATTGTAAATAATAAATAATGATGATGATTGATTCTAGTATTTTTAGCTCGACTTTTCTATGAAAAGGGGAGCTATCCTACTCGCCCCGGCGTCGGCGTCGGCGTCGGCGTTGGCGTCGGCGTTGGCGTCACACCTTGGTTAAGTTTTTCGTACCACCCCACTTTATTTCAGAAGTATTACAAGTATGGCTTTGAAACTTACCATACTTGTTCACCATCATAACCTCCATCTACAGACAAGAGTACATAACTCTGTCAAGGTTTTTGACAGAATTATGGCCCTTTTTTGACTTAGAAAGTGTATTGAGCTTGGTTAAGTTTTTTGTACCACCTCACTTTATTTCAAAACCATTGGAGGTATTGCTTTGAAACTGACCATACTTGTTTACCATCACGACCTTCATCAACAGACAAGAGGACATAACTCTGTCAAGGTTTTTGACAGAATTATGCCCCTTTTTGACTTAGAAAATACATTGAATATGGTAAAATCCACTTATTGCCTTAACCCTTTGAGATATTGCTTTGAAAACTTTTAATGCTATTTCACATCATTACCCCCCATCTGTACGCAAAGAGAAGGTAACTCTGTCAAGGATTTTTTTTTAAAAATTAAGGCCTTTTATCGACTTAGAATCTTGGTTAAGTTTTTAGTACCAGTCCACTTTTTGACTGAACTGTTTGAGATATTAATTTGAAAGTTGGAATACTTGTTTACCATCATGGTCCCAAAACATGGGCAGGAGAAGGTAATTCTGTTAAGGATTTTATTGAATTATGGCCCTTTTTGACTTAGAAACTCAGTTAAGATTTTCATTCTTGTTCCACTTGTTGACTTAACCATTTGAGATATTACTTTGGAAGTTGGAGTTCTTATGTGCCATCATGAGAACCTATCTGTAAGCAAGAGAAGATAACTCTGTGAAAATGTTTCTTGATTTGTACTTAGAAATTCCTAGTTAAAGTCTTGTGTGCCCTTAACTGTCAAAGTTTTGTTTTATAGGCAAGCACTAAAAAAGTCGAGCGCGCTGTCCTTCTGACAGCTCTTGTTATTTTATTAAACTTAAAGAATCATATAATGTTTAAAAGTAAATTAATCATATAATTGTGATAAAATACTGCAAATGTTGAAATTTTGTGGCATGATGCTTTGTGGTCCTTTCTCCTCTCTTTTTCAGGAACTTACTTGCTGCTGTGCGGCAAGTTCCCTTTTACCATGCTGCTGTGCGGCAAACAGTCAAAACTGCGGGTCAGTAAATATGTTTAATTTCTTAACAATTCTACATATGCTGCTGTGCAGCATTGTGGCCACAAATAACAAAAACATTTTTAAGATACTGTAGCACTTTTTACTTTTGTCCACATATGTAGGTTGTTCCAGTTCGGTGCCTCCAAGTAATGGTGACGTAATAAAAGTATGGGCAGATTCAGACACAGCAAGTACCTTAATACAGACTTTAAGTACAAAGTTCCCAAAGATCAAGTGGGAGAGTTGTGACAAATATGTTCTGAACACTAAAATCAATAGACTTAAGAAAAAGCAGACTTTGCTCAAACAAAACCACAAAATGAAGCAACTTGATGCTTTTTTAAATACAACTTTTGAATTGCCCCTAAAATCAAACATTAATGAAGATGAAGACAGGGAAAATGTATCGTCACATAACATTGTTAAAATTAAAAGTAAATTTTCAGAAATTCAAAAAAAAACTGTACAAATTGTTTCAGAAAATAGATCACTTAAACGTGACATTGGTGGCATTGAAATTGAAAATGAAATTTTGGTTAATCAGGTTCAGCATTCTGAAAGAAAAATAGAAATTTTGCAAAACCTACTTGAAATAGCCAATGATAAATATAAAGATGTATGCACATATAAACAAGAAAGTTATAAATTGAAAGAGGAACTTCAGGAGTGGGAAGACAAGTATGATTCTTTGTCATCAGAATATGAAAAAACAGTAGAAGACTTATATGATAAAAAACAAAAGTTACAAAAGCAATCCACTAGAAATTTGAATAAAAAACTGAAAAGAAGAGATAACACAATAGAAGAAAAGGGCAAAATAATAGCAGAGAAAGAGAGAGAGTTGGGGGAGAAAGAAAGGGAGATTGAAAGTGTGAGAGAAGAGAATGAAATGATAGCATGTAAGGTTACAGATTTGCAGAGAGAGAGAAAAAATTTGTTACAAAAAGTTTGTAGGTTAAAAAAGAAACCAAATTGTTACACTGATGTTTTTGAAAGTAATCTTTTACAGATAGAAACATTAAAATTACAAGTATCAGAAAAAGACCAACAAATCCGTGACCTTGAGCAAATAAATACATTGCTCACTGAGCCATTTATAGACACATTTTAATGATGGTAAAATTTTCAAATGAGTTGCGGGAAACCGTAATGACCTTAGTCACTGAATGTGGGGTAAGTCAAAAAAAGGTAAATGAGGTTATGTCAGTTGTTGTTCAAAAACTAACAGGTAAGACACTTTCCAGATTACCAAGCACTGGGGTGAAAAGTAGACTTTTATTGGAAGCGAAAAGGGTAGCTAACCAACAGGTTGCAAAAGAATTGCTTAGTACAGGTAAAACTTTTACTTTACATCAAGATGGTACCTCAAAGTTTCATAGGCATTTTCAATCATTTCAATTTACAAGTAATACTGGTTTACAATTTTCAGCAGGAACTTATTGAGGTTGGGTCTGCTGATGCAACATCTTTATTTGAAACCTTTAAAGATTTGATTTCAGATTTAGCTGAATCAATTAAGTGTGAAGACAAAAGAAAAAATATTGCTAAGATTGCTGCTTCAATTATAAGCACTTATGTCGGACCAAGGTTCTGTTAACCCTGTATTTAATGAGAAAATTTAAAGTATTTAGGGAAGACCTATTGCCACTTGTATTTTCAGGTTGGGATCAATTTAGCCTTGAGGAGAAAAACATGAACTAGGTAAACTCTTTTCATTCTTTTGTAAAATGCATCATTTTTTTAAACAATCGCCACTGAGACTGATAAATGCCGTACACAGTTTGAAAGAACAATAGTGTCTTGAGGGTAAGAAATCCCTATGCTTTTTCTTACAATGAAAGTGGTATTTCCCGATTAATTCGGACAGTAAGCAAGGCTTTTTCAGTCATGGATGGAAAAATCTGGTGTGGGAGGACATTTTGCTACATACTTAGCTGATAAAGATGTAAAAGAACCAGATAATTACCTTTAGAGGCACCGCTTTAACCACTTGTACCATGCTGCTGCCGTAACTTATCACCATTTAAATGATAAGCAGCACTTTCTCCAAATTGTGTCAGAACAAATGAAGTTCAAAAAGCAATATCTTTTAGACAGTGAGCCAGTTAAAAAGCATGTACAGAGCCTGGACTTATAAATAAAGTTAACGGTCCACTTCTGGAAGACTTATAAGACTGTCCCAAAATCTCTGGCCACTGAACACACATCTCACACTAAAAATTCATAGAAACCTGGTCCAAGGCCTCTCCAATTCTTGCAGTAAATGTGTCAGGAAACATTCAAAATTAAAAAAAAAAGAGCCAGTGTCTAGAAATCTCTATAACACCATCTGAGGATCCATGTGAAAGCCTACACACAGATGGCATTAGAGCTATGTTTTGCAGGTATGTTGTTAATTTTAGAACGCCAGGCAAAAGACCAGCTACCTGGTGGAAGATATTGGAATTTAAATGAACAAGTTTGTTCAAGGTTGTCTGCGGTACCTACCACAAATACTGTGTCTGAGCGTGACTTTGCCCAACTTGACATGTTAATGAGGTCCAAACCTTCAGCTGCTGTGACAACATTTGAAGCCATTATAATGTGGTCAAACAATAAAACATCAGACTGGTTAAATTCTTTGTCACCAGAAGAACATGCACAGGTAATAAACGAAGCTAGGGTAAGTACACCAGAATTTCAAAAATCAATTAAAGAAAAGCAACAGTTATTATACCAGAAAAAGTTAGAAGTTTTAAAGAAAAAGCAGGAAAAAAAGGTAAAACAAGAGGAGAAACAACATTCAAACAAAGTAAGGTTGACACAAAAAATAACTGAAATTGGTGGTCTGTGGACTAGTTTAGAAGACTTAGAAAAGTTCAAAACTGGCAAAGATAAAGGTAAATTTAAAGAAGCAATTCTTACCCAGTTGCAATTTAGAAGAGTAGTTTTAAACAGCAAAGGCCAAAAAAATCTCTTTCAGCAACAACACAAAGGGCAGCAATACACATTAGAACAACAAGAAGACAACCTTAAACAGGTAATCATTCTAAATTTGGATGAAGAAGCTGTAAGTCAGCCGGACTTAAAACTAATATATAGGGCAGTTGATGATGTACAAACATGAATTGAGCACAGTGAAATTAAGCCTGCACAAAAAAATAGAGGAAAACCGTCAAAAAATTATTATTTATCAACAAAAAGAGTTTTTTGCCCATGTTCCATGAAAACACCACATACACTTATAGGTAAGAAATTTAAACACAAATGTAGAGACCCCAGAATCTGGCGTAGTGGAATGGTATCAGGGTATTGTAAAAGATATAAAAAAGCAAAATGTGGATATTTCAAAAACTGAGTATTTTGTAAAATATGATGATGACGATGATTTATGGTTTTTCCCTTTACTCAAAGACATGGAAAAAGGAGATTTAATTCTAATGTAATCAATTTAATCAAGTTTTTCCAATCTGAATGAAAGACATAGTGATCTTGGTTAATATGTAGAGTACTTTATCACATAAAATGTGAAGCAGGAGTGTGACTGTAATAGAGTCATTTAATAAGAACGATATTACACTAGTGTGATAACACTTTGATGTGACATCATTTGCGCTATATATATAAATATAGTGGTTAAGTGCGCTAATGTTAGCGTTTACACTATAGGTGCATCAATGAAAAATGACACTTTTTAACAGTTAACCTTCCTTACTTTTTTAATATATATGATAATAGAATATCATATTTGTGAAGTATTCAACACTAAATTTATTAAACTCATTGAATAAAACAGCCAGATGCTTGCATAATATGATTGTATTCAACTCGTTCAATGAATTTAGTAATGTATTAAACCTACACTCATTCAATATCCTCTATGTATATATTTTTTTTCCTTTAATATTTTTGTTGTCAAGTCATAAATAAATATTCAGAATGTGTTAAATGGCTCAGTGAGTACATGTACTTCATATAGGTATACATGTCTATAATGCAACAAAAGTTATTCAAATAGATTTTCTTTATTCAAAATAATGGTCTGATACATTTTCAGATTTGTTTATATTTATATGCATATATGATCTTACCAATCTGTTGCCTTAGTAATTCAATAAAAGTTAGATTACACAATCATTAAGAAAAAATACTTGTAAAAACATCAGTTATGTATATACTATATATGTATTTATTGTTTTCTTTCTTTATTTTATAGAATAGACAGTTGCTGTTATCATAAAAGTATCACTGAACCAATATGGAATCCAGATGTTGTTGCAATCAATTCCATTGTTGACCTATGTTTTTAGTGTCTGTGTTTTTTTTATAACAGTTGCTTTGGTAACCATAAACATGTTTTTGTTTTAAACTAAAAAAATGTGATTTTGACAGCAATGACATCATAAAACTTTAATAGAAATTTCAATGACGAAAACATTATATGCAGTCGGTTTTTAATGTAAAAATTATGTTTTTGTCATTTGTTTTGCCTATTTGTATTAAAGAATATGTGTAGTTGCTAGCCTATAGTAACAAAAAACAACAACAAATGTTATGCATACAAATACCATTGTTGAATCAATAAAGATATTGATAATATCTATCAAAGTAGAATATTTTATCAACAAAATGCATTTTTCTATTTTGTATTCACTGTTTTTTCACTTATTTGCCTTTGTGTATTAAAATATATATGGTTGCTATGGTAACAAAATATATGTTATTTACACAATTAACATTGTTGTATTGATTAAGATGTTTTTAAATGTCAATCAAAAATAGATTATTTGATCAAGAAAAGGCAGATTTTCAAGTATTTATTCACTATTTTTCACTTATTACCAATGTGTATTAAGATATGTGGTTGCCATGGTAACAAAAAAATTTCATTTGTTTCTTACAAAATCATCATTGTTGAAAGAATATATAAATATTTATCAAAAGTAATGGCACATTTGATAATGAAAGGCAAATTTTTAGTTTGTTTTCACTATTTTTTCACTTTTTTGTATTAAAAAAATATTTGGTTGCTATGGTAACCAATGACACATTTTTATTGAAATATTGAGAGTTATATTGCTATTTATGTTGAGAATCTGAAAACAAAACAAATAGAAATAATTGTTTCACTAATAAAAAAACAACAGAATATCAATTTTCACTTTATTGTTAGTTTTTCTTGTTTGTATATTCAATAATTCACCAATGTCGGCCATTTTGAATTCAATATGGCCGCCAGACAAATAAATGATGGGGCGACATAATTCAGAAAATTGCCAATACATCAAAGTTTCATAAAATGTATACTTATAGGGGGTTTACATCACTCTTTTTAAAGATCCATACAAAATTACAAGTTATTAATCTTTATGGAGTGCTGATTTTGGTGCCTTTTCTGTATATACAATGTTATATAACAGTGAACCTCAAAAAGTGACGAAATCGCAAACATAAAAATTGCCATAACTTTAGAACCCCATGTGATATCTTAAAGATCTATACCTTATTTTAAAGCTTATGGCATCACCTTTAAATTAGAAACTGTTTTGGAACCATTTAAACATATATAAAAATGTGCATGAACCTCCTATAAAGGTACATCATGTATAAATTTCAGAAATGACCAGTAAAAAGGGCAGACCGGAAAAACTTAAAAACTGCTGTGAAGAAAACATGACACATGCGTTTAACGCTGTTAAAGCAGGGACGATGAGTATTTCAGCAGCGTCCAGGGCATATAATGTCCCAAGAATGACTCTTTCAGATAGGGTAAATGGAAAAGTACAATTAGAAGCTAAAATGGGAGTCAAACCTGCATTAACGAGGAAGAAACTTCGTTATTACATTATATAGAATATATGACAAATCGCGGGTTTCCCATGACCATTCAACAAATTTTAGGGTTTGCTTGATGTATTGCCGAAGAAAAGGTAAAAGCGAAGTCTTAAGTAAAAACGGCCCTTCCCGTATTTGGTGGAAAGGTTTTAAAGAGAGAAATCCGGGGCTTGGCACTAGAATCCCTGATCCATTGGACAGAGGTCGCGCAACTAAATCAAATGTTGAGGCGTTACAGGAGTACTTCTCCTTGCTTAAAGATACACTTGAAAATAGTGGTCTCATGTCAAAGCCCCAATGTATTTACAATTGTGATGAGGCGGCCCTGTTTCTTAATAAGTCGGCAGGACAGAAAGTAATTGTTCCGGTCCGAAATAAACATGCACATTCTTTGTCTGTCGCCACCAATGAGCATATAACGGTCGACTGCTGTGTAAACACTGCAGGGGCAGCAATACCGCCTATGATAATATTTAGCAAGAGCTTGCCTGGTGGGCCTCATCACCGTCAAGGGCCAATAAATGCCAGTTACACGTTCGCCGAGACCAAAGACTCTATAAACAGTGGTTTGAGAAAACGTTCATCCCCCATGTGGTTAAAGACCGCCCGCTGCTTCTTATTCAAGATGGCGCAACTTGTCATATGAGTGGCCCGCTTATTCGATCTGTTTCTCTGTATATATGTTTTTGCATGGGCCGGAGGCCTTAAAGCGAATAAAGTATTTGTATTGTATTGTATTGTATTGTATTATTCGATCTGCCATTGCAAACGACGTCATTATGCTTTTCCTTCCGTCCAAAACTACCCACATTACCCAACCACTGGACGTTGCTGTATTTCGTAAGATGAAAATTGAAACCTCTAAACTCATGAACTCTGCAAAAATGATTAAATCGGACTTATGGGTCGCTAAGAAAATGTCGGTGCCATGCTTAAACTTATATTTGAAGCTAGTTTTACAATGTATCACAGAGGGCTTTCGTAAATGTGGCATTTATCCCTTCAACCCAAATGCTATTGATAAATCCTTTCTTCTGAGATCAAGCGCAGAAACTGACATAGAAGCCATTGACCCATCAGCTAAATTCTATCCTGAGCATGATAGTTTCGGTAGTTTACCACCTGCTTCATGTGCTCATACTTCACCTGGTCCCTCACTAGAAAATAATGGGACTCTTATACCTGAGGAATCGTGTGTTTTGCCGGCCCAGACTTCGCATTTTCTCCCTCTGCAGCAAGCATCAAATGAAGTTGATTTTGATGGGAATAAGTACATTGCGTCAGCCATTGACCTAAGTATGGTGTCCGAAAACAATTACGCATCCGGTACATCAACAGATGAGTATATGCTACCGATTTTCCCAGAACTGAGTTTCACTGTTGACGACGAAGGTATACTTCACAACGCCGAATCAATGTCTATTGCAGATAAGGCTGTCTTTGTGCAGGAATGTCCGCCAGAATTAGCCCTTTCTGCAGTTGAGTTAAGCTTGACACCCAAGAAGAAAAAGAAATATAACGAAGCCTTTCAGCTTGGCATTGATCTGCCAAATGACAAAGTATTTCACACTTAAAAATCCCTGAAAACCGAAACTCCGATAGAAAAAAATCATTGGCTACCAGCACATCTTTCCCTCTTCCTAGCATAAAAGGGCACTGTCCAGACTTCAAAAGCGACTCCATTCAAAGATATTACTGATTCCGCTCCAATCCATCCTTTAGTGCGTGCCGGATTAATATCACCAGATCTTGTTGACATTCTTGTCGTCCCTAAGACTAGCACTCCTATATCAAAAACAAGGATAAACAAGAAAACTTCAAAAGCTAGGGTGTTAACAAGCACTGAAGTTCAACAGGAAGTAGAGGCGCAAGAAAAAAGGCGGGAAGAAGAAGAGAAGGCGAAGCAGCAAAGAAAGCTCGATAGAGTAAAACGAAAAATGGAGAAAGAGGCTGCTGATGCAAAACGTAAGGAAGAAATGAAAATAAAGAAAGAACTGAGAGAAAAAACAAAAGCTGAAAAAGAATGTATGAAAAATGAACGCAAAATTAAAAAAACAGGCAAAAATCGAACTGAAAACTAATGAAACCATTCCAGACGAATAGATTTGCTTCGTTATTGTTCACATTTTTTAAAGAATTGTAATTGTTTTATCTTCAGGTCAAAATGATGAAACGCTTAGTCGTTCGAAATGTCATGGTGGTAGGCATGCATCACTACAGAGAAAAGCAGTTAAGCGTTGGATCATATTACAGAATTGAAATTAAACCAAATAATCCATATGACGAGACTGCAGTCGCTGTGTATGATGGCAATATTAAAGTTGCCAATCTCAAACGGGATTGTGCTAAGGCTTTGTTTTGTTTAATGCAGGAAAACAGGGCAACTTCTAAGTACTTTCTTAAGCCGCTTGAAGTAAGGAGTAGACGGACGGGCCCTGAGCAGTTAAGTGTCGTTGCATTTCAATGTCCAGAAGAGTTCATCAGGGAACTTACCAATAAGGCTGAAAATCATCCATGTATTCATGTTATCAGTATGAACCTTAAGTCACAAAAATAAATACGAAATATCTGCATATAGTAAATACGCAAATTTATCTATAAGTACTCCGTGCATTTATTTGTGCATTTATTTCCGTTAAAATGTTTGTAATAGCTTGTTTTTTTCTGATGCATGTTACCATCATGGTTTTTTCATTGTCATTTACTGTTAAAGCTTTAAAGCTGTTGTGTCTTTAAGTTTCTTTAATCGCGTTCAAGTCTGTATTTCAACTTAAGTACAAATGTTCGTACAAATTTTCTTTTTAACAGACATAATTACATGTGCATTGTACTTGCTGTATGTTATCATGTTTATTTTCAATAGTTTCTCAAGAATGTTAGTAATCTAGCATGTAAAACTAATTATGTTCTTGTTATAATTGGTATAGGCCTACATGTAGTTTAATCAAAACTGGCATTTTTTAAAAAACAAATTGTATGACGACTTTATATTCATCTGACGACTTTGTATGATTATCATTGACGACCTTAAATAAAGGTGTATGTATAGTCGTCAGGTGTCCTCCTTTGCTATTTATAATCACTTCTTCGGACTATCTCTGAAGTTTTCGATACAAGTTATGGGTTTTATACAAGAAAATGTCTCTTGAGGGGTTTACAGATGAATAATCACGAATCCGGGGATGTACGTAGCTTACGGAATCGGCTGAACGCGCTGAACTGACGACTTTATATTAAAGTACGTTAGATCTACTCCAGTCCATGTGACTCGGTTTTCTTGTTGCTTATTTTTCATTTTTTAAAGTTTTCCATCATGCATTGCAACTAAACTGTTACATCTTGTAGATCCAGCTTTGTAATAATAATCATGAAACGACCCCGAGAACCTCATGTATATTTTAGAAACATGACACGTGCTTTCTCCCGTTGATCTTCAAATGAAGAGTACTTCGGCAATGGCTACGGAAAATAAACAACAGAGATTTACCATAGAGAAATCAAAATTTGCTTTCACAAGAAAAGTAGACACTTTAGAGTAAAATCCTGAAAAATCTCGAGGGTGACTTTTTTTTTAGTTTACAAATTTTTTTTAATTTTTATTCAACGTCGTTTTGTTAATTCATACCAGGCAAAAGTTCATTTCAATTTTTAATGGGACAGACTATAATTATAATATGGTAAACAAGATCAACAAGGAAAGGTGGCGTTCAATGAACCTTAACGGAGCCGTAAAACGTCTGACTGGCGGGTCAAATTTGTTTTTTTTTTTGTAAAAAAACGCATTAAATAAAATCATAAAAATTTGTTTGCATTTTTCGTGAATATGAAATATAACTCAATGCAAGAATATCTTTATTAAAAGCCACAGATGCATTCTTAATGTCAAATTGTGTTGACTTTAAAGATAAAATTATAAGTTAAGCTGGTGTTGTTTTTTTTTATATTTGAAAAAAAAAAGATCGCTGATGTTTTTGAAATATCCATAATATCTTAAAATATCTTGGAACTTATTGTCCGTTTTCTGTTTAGTAATGTTCACGCCTAATATCAAATATACATTTGTTTCAACTGTTCTTTAAGAAAACATAAATGCTATTGATATAGATTAGTTCAACAGGCACACATTTAATCTTTAAAACAGAATTTTAATTGTGAATTATATCTAATTGTTTGGACATTGTTTGAACATAGTACAATGTATATTAATACAACGTTTTTAAATAATTATACCATATAAATAAAGCACTGTTGCGTTGATTTCCGATTTCAATATATAATACATATTTTGATGTTAAATATAATGTAAGTATTTATTTTAATTTTCAAAATATAAAAAGGAAAACCGAAAGAGTTCGTTACATTTATGTTATAAGAATTATTTCTCCTAAACATCATAATGAAACTTTGTTTAGCGTCATAAGGAAGCTTTCAAATGTAAACAATAATTGCGTTTTCTTCCGAAGCGAATAAGAAAATTTATATCTAATTTTTTCTTGTGTATACATCTTTAAAGCGGCACGGCTCCAGATAGGCAAATATTTACATGTAAACATTCAAACATAACAAAAATGTATTTCACAGGATTTTTTTAAACTAAATCATAATTTACAAGCCTTTAATCATTTAATGTATTTATGCAAAATTAGGCTAAATTGACTGTTTTATCAATGCATTTAAACGAACTATTTTGATTTCCCCTATACAATTAAGGTATTAATACGTGTCTGTTTAGTTATGGAGTAGTTGTGATAAAATGTTCGCAAAAATCTTAATATAACCAAACCATCGCAAAGTGTTTATATGTCAAATATGCGTTAAATTGGTCTATTATTTAAGTACCTAGCTTAAAATCTGCGGAAAAGGGATAAATTGATAACTAACCAAAATCCTGTAACGTACATTATAATTCAGAAGATAACATTAGTGTAATGTTTAAGAAAGTGAATCTCCAGGGAAATCCATTTTCATAATTATTTTGCAGCGGACATTAGTTTTTCCTCAGGAAATCGGAGCTAAAC